GCTAAAGTCATGAATTTGAATATATTATTTGCTCAAAACATTATTAGGTTTTTGATATTTATTAGTTGTGACATAAAATACATTAGCAAAACACAACAAATTATACAACAATTTTTTGGGCACTATTTTTTCAAATATTACTCTATAATAATATGATATAAAGTATAAAAACAATAACATTTATATACTGTACATATAACAGAATTTATATATATATATATTTAAATTATAAATACCGTAATTCGTATAATTTCGGTCCCAAACCCAAAGACCTAATGTATGGCATATGAAGTATTTAATTATTGATGTGTATTCTCTACTCTGTATTATTCATTGAATAATACTATGCTATGTATTCATAGAGTTCTTGTATAACATCGTTAAGCCCAGCGCTTAGAGCTCCGGCGGATTGAGACCCCTATAGCCATCATTAGTTTTAATATAGATATATCTTAATCCTTATATATTATTAAATATGAATCATAATTATCGTCTCCATTCATACGGCAGACACAGAAAAACAATAGTATTATTATTAAGTACAGTACAGTATATTCTGTATGATATATATTACAGATAAAAAACAAAACTTCATAAATATTTGGCCAAAAGTGTCTTTCTTTCAGAATACCAAAAGTTGTTTTGATATTTTTCAATGTTTGCAATAAATAACTGAATGAAAAATATATATTATTTATTGTCTAAAATTAAGTTTCTGTTTGTCAAGAATTTTAGGCAAAGAATGGGCTAAACAACAAACTTTCTGTTGTCTTTCAAAAAGTATTTTTCTCAGAAGAGATATATTTCATAGAAAACAGAAATAACTCTTAAAAATATGTCTTCAAGTTTTTGTTGAAATAATTTTTTTGAGTAAAACTTATATTCTTAGACAAAATTCTGTAAGAATAACATATCGAAAGTCATCGCAAGAAACTATATTTTTCTCACTCTATAAAAGTATTACATTATTAATACTCGTCAGCAAATTCTTTGCGCTAATTTTTAGCTATTTTTTCACTTGTTTTGAGTCAAGCAATCAGTTTTGATGGCAAAAAACACTTCCCTCTCTTTCTCTCTCTTCATATACAATATAAGTTATATCTAAAGAGAGCCAAAAAATCATAGAAATGACACTTTATTCAGTTGATTGACTTTATTATGACTGAGACTTTTATCTCTTCTACTGATCGGCAGTTTTTGGGTCCAAAAATCATATAATCATATAATTTGTTTCAGACTATAGAAGTGGAAAATAGGAAAATATTACCCAATCTCTAAGCGATTGAATCATTTTTCTAATACAAAATATAAATATAAGTTTTATATATATTCTCTTCATATTTATTTCATATCTTTGAGATTAGAATTAGAGGCAAGACTTCAAACACTAATACTTCTATTATTGCCAGTATTTCGGAGATTATTATTTAACTAATAATTTGTAATCTAAACCAAAAGTCGGAATCACTAAAAACATTATATTAATTTTTCATCGCATATATTTCCAAACCGTCGACTTTAATCATATCAATAGTTGTAGTTTTGCCACAAGTCCTCTAAACCTCTCTCTCTCTCTCTCTCTCTTACAAAATTTATATTTGTTTATACGCATAGAAATAACACTAATTATTTACATTTAAGCGATTTAATCAATGAAACACAAGTAAATTAAAATCTTTAATGTGATAAGCATTCAGTTTTCTCTCTCTCTCTCTCTCTTTCTCTCTCTCTTTCTCCCTCCCCTAAACATATTACACAAACATATAACGGAAATAATGTATAGATTTTGTTTTTAAGTCATATAGAATGGGAATAACGCAAAGAATACATATAAAAATGTCTTTGATTTTAGTTTCATATAAATATATTATTTGCTTCTGATTTATGGGAAGACAATCTAAAAATACCAAAACATTTATATCACTTGCATATACAGTATATATTTATTTATTGCAATAATAGTTGTTGACAAAAATTTAATACAACATTTATTTGGCAATTACACAGACTTTCATAGTCTTAATTCATATTCACTCATTTAACAAATAATTTTTAACATTTTCAGCCAATTCTCAAACAAATATTTTGTCAATTCTTGCAAAAGACAGTTATTTTTGAATTTATTTTTACCATTAAAATAGAAAATCAAAAGATTTTATTCACAAAAATGTTGCAAATTTTATGAATACTCGCAAGAATTTGAGCCAAAACTCAAAGTTTTATATATAATGGGAATTTGTTTCTCATGTGTTCAGCATTTTTACGACAATTTTCTGTTTAGAATTACTAAAAATTTTTGAAATAAATTAAAATTAATGTTATATTATCTCACGATAAATATTATTAATTATAGTATAAATATCTCGTATTTGAATATTATATGTATATATATTCAGTAAATCATTGACTGGATATCCAAATGCGACTAAAATTGTCTTTTTATTATCCCTTTTCCTCTCTTATGATTGATTGCAAACAAAATCTTAGCTTTGATTCATGTATTTCTCAGTGAATGTATACAATAATATGTTATATAATAAAAATTTATTATTTCACTCCTTTCCCTATTTGAGGCCTTAATTTAATTAAAAATATATTTTGCTTGAAATTTAATATCAAACTAAAATTTTATGCCTTTAAATGATTGCTAATTAAAGTTATATATAAAATATAATTAATGCAAACTTGTATTTAATTTCATAATTAATTTTTGTGTCCTATTTCTACAAATTGGAAAATATAGTTATACTTTTTTGGTGTCATTTATTATTTTATTTTACAGATTTATAGAATATATTACAAGTAAATTATTTAATTTAATACAAAAGTTTAGTATTTAATTAGAAAATATTATTTAAATCCATGACAACACAAATTACTTATTAATTAATTAAATACTTGTCATAAAATAAATTTTATAAATTATTAATTATAAAACTTTATTGTTTTTTATAACACACTGTATGAATATAAACTAAAACTTTATACCTGGACAATATTGAGCTCGAATTAGCTAAATTATGAAGATTATAATCATTTATATTAAATATTATGTTACAAATATACTGTATATACTGTAAATTAATAATAACTAAACAAAATAAATGTTAATCAAAAACCTTATTTGTTTTGTTTCGGAAGTTATTAATCAAATTTGTATTTATTTTATATATAAATTAAAGCCTATCTCTAATCCCGTCCAAACATGTCAGTCACAATCAAAAGCCTATATTTACTGTTACTTTATAAACATTTTTAATTAAAATTTTAATCCTTAACGAAATATATGAATATTATAATTAACTCTTTTATTAAAAAGTTTTGTGAACTGAAAGAACCGAGAGTTTATTTATACATTTTTTATATTGTTCATTCAATAGACTGTATCATAAGAATTAATTACACAATTAATGGCTAAATATAAAGTTTTTTGCGTTCATTTTAGTGAAGCAATCATTTTGACGGAGAAATGTTTTAACGCATCAATACTTTTCGATAATAATATATTAGTTGTTCTCAAAAGTCGGTTCACTTGAATCGGTTTGACTTAAACTGGGAAAAGACATTGAGTGCACAGTTAATGTACGGCACTATACGGTAAAGTACTGTACACTGTATACAGTGTTTAGAGGACTACTACTATACGCCACCAGTGATGGAGGACTGGAGACATAATTAATTTTGTCGCCGAATTGATCGCTATTATACCACAGCATTAAAATGAGTGCAACGGAAGCCCAATAGCGTTGCAATCAATTGAAAAGCCATCGCAGAGAGAATATGTGTACAGAAAATATTGGCGATATTATTGATTGCTATGCTATTAGTGAAACGCTTTCAAACTTCGGGCTAATTCTTATCTGATGTTAACATCAATACCAAATCAAACGGATTTTGGATTTAGATTAAGGCATCAATTGTTTCTCTATTAGTGTGCTTTAAATTTAACGATTCATCAATGATCATGGTGACTGTGAAATATTTATGGAGTTTCAAGTGTTTTGGTTTGAAGTAATATTAGTGTCAGTGAACTAATTATACTGCAATCAAAGCGTAGAATTTAATTTGCATGTTATTTGAGTGAAAAGCTTGAGAATTTGTTTATTAATTTTTTTATTTAATTAAATTTTTAGCGCACATACATGTACTAAATGGAAAAATCAATTATAATTATTTTAATTACTTCTAGAATTTTTATCAAGTGCTTAATATTAAAATAATTATATCTTCAGGTAATACTATAACAACAATTTCTAGTTTTAAATAACAATAAATTCATTGAATATTCAGTAGTTATTTTCAGACAGTATTTAATGAACACAAATAAAATATTAAACAAATGTCTTTTATTATAAATAATAATCATTTTTATGGTTTTTACAGAATAATAAAAATAAAACATAAGAATCGGTTCAAAACAAGAAATATAATTACATATCGAAATAAATTCCTTTTTTGTGTGCATTTATTAGCATTTATTTTAATATATTCTCATATTTTATATAAGTGTCTGTATATTAAGCATTGAATTTAAATATTTGATGAAAAGGTTTCGTCTTTCGGTTCACAGAATTCTCTCCTATTTTTGATGATTATATTGAAAGCAAAAGGTGTTCACAATCTTCTTATATATAATAATATTCTTTATATAAAATTCTTATTTTTTTAATAAAAGAAGTCTTAGAAATGACGGCAAAATGAAGCCATTTATGCCACTTATGACAAAGTTATACCACTTTTTGCTGCTTTGGTTAAAAAATTTCTTATTATTAAAAAAGATCTGCCGTTTGTGTCGTTTGTGTGCCATTCCTACACTTTCTCCCCGACATCCCTCTCACTCGCTGTAACACACGATTCAAATAAAAAACATATAATATATATAACAGTCGAGCGAATAAAAGAAGTCGACTTTCAGTCAGAATAGATCGTCAATCAGAGGGCATAGAAGTGTAGTATAACTTAAATATATTTTGTGTGTCTCTACTCAACAAAAAAGGAGATCATTTGATGGACTCATTGTGAATAAGAGACGGCAAAAGGGCTTTACTTTCCAATTGATCGTTGAATGCGTTGAGCATTGAATGCAAATATAATCTGACGGCAAAAGAAAAAACGCGTTAAAACTGTTTATCAGTCGATGAATTGGACTCAAAATGCAGTCAATTTTCTCTCTCTTTTGTGAATACATTGCAGTAAATGAGCGCCGATTGCAATATTGTGTTGTATGGCTTTCCCTTCCCATCCCTTTTGCCAAATGCCCTCAATTCCCATTCAACTTATGCTAAACTCTTTAACAAATAGTGCAAAATATTAGAGAATATATTTGTTGTTTTTGCTAACCTTTGGGGCAAAACAAATAAATTTTGAACAATCATATCGTCAATAATGCACTTGTGATTTATATGGATTCATACTCTGGGCCTTTCGATCCCACTTTTCCTATACATCCCTTGCGCTAACACTCTATTGTGTAATAGTTTTGCACTTTTCTTTCACATTCACTGTCTATTTGTATAATTCAAAATCGTTGTCGTTTTTTCTTCATTCGTTTGCAAATACAAATTGATATAAATGTTATGCAACACAACATTAGTAGACCGGAGGCGCCCATCACTAACAATAAGGTGGATTCATCGGTGATCAGACTCCAGAACTTATGCCTTTTGCACAGCATTTCATCTTCATCTTCGCTGACACGACCGCCCGTTCCTATCACTGGACAGTTGACCACTCCGTTACACACCTAGTATTTTAACAATAAATATTACAAATATATACTTTATATATTTTTTGATCTAAACTAATATATTTTCGTTAAAATTTTAACTTTTATTATCGTGTTTTAGCACATGTTATGTTTCCCATAAGTTATATATCAAGCGATAGCATAGCCTTTAACATCATTTATTAGATTATAAAAAAGTTTTGACACTATTTGTGCGCTTAAACTCAAAATGAAAAACATATTTTTCTCGTTATAAAAAATATACGTCAAATGTGTAGTAAAACGCAAAGCGCTTATCGGTTTATGAAAACTTTTTAAAAGCATAATTGAATTAATAATGTGAGCGAATATTTCACGCAATACATCACACAATACAGTATAACATACGGACAATACATACCAACTCTCGTTTGAGACACGCCGGAGGATTAGTGCAGAGGAACTCACAGTTCTGACCCATTGGTACCAATTGTTCAGCCGATGAAATGGGCAGTAAAAGCTTGAGTTGAGTGTATTTGAATAGCAGGAAACTAGTGTTGGCCGGCGTTCGGCTCATGTATTGTATGGTTATTACAGAACTCGCAAAACTGTTTGGCGAAACACTTTGCTGTTGAAGTGAGATGTCTTCGCTCTTAATTATGATGTCTCGTCGATAAAAGTTTGGATTTGGTTTTGTTTGCCTCTCGTGTTGTGCAGTGGCTGTGGAGTAGAGTGGCTGCGGAGGGCAGACCTGTATGTCTCTTAGCCTTAATGAATCGGTTGTGCAGTTTATATGCTCTCCAATACTGAATGTAATGTCTAATTGAGGAAAGAGAGGCAATTTCCACATACAAAATACGGGATCATTCTGTGCTATAAACGCCAAACTGCTAATCGATTCTTTCAAATATGAAGATTTAATTAATTTATTGTCAGAATTGGGTTCAGAATTAAATGGAAACTCCAAAAAGCCCTGCAGTCGAGGCGTTAGGATCTCATTAGGACCACAACGAGTGTCACTAAAAAATCGATAGATAACCTAAAAATAGATAAATTCAGACCATATTTGCTATAAATTACATCAAATTGAGGCTTATTTGTAGAATAAGACACACTCTATATAACACTGTATCTAAAATAAATTCTCTCTTTCTTTCTTTCTTTCTCATTCGCTCACTAATTCTTACTATCCGTCTTATACAGTATAAAATATAAATATTACAATTAAACATAAAATCCCTAATTATACGAATTATTATTTAATACAATATAAGAAGATAACCTATAATTGTACATAAGTATTAATTATTATTATAAAATATGTAAACTTTAATTATCTGGTTGTGTATTAAAAATTCAGGCAAACAATTAAATATATATCAGAAATGTGAACAATAAGTGAATGTAAAGCAAACTAAAAGCCAATATTTGTTAAAAACGGTACAAATCTATTGTTTGCCATTATATTGAATTCGGCGAATTGAAAGAGCAGTGCAAACAAATAGACATTTATTTTTATACAACATATCTATAATACAATGTTATATACAGTGTATGAATGGGTTTGAATGAATGGCTGTTCGAGACATAACTCACATGAATTGGGGAGAAGTAATGTGTGAGATGTTGTGCTCTCCATTCGGCCGGTAATTGTAATGATATAATCATTTGCGCTCCAATTGAGAGCACATATGATGTGTCCGGACTCGGGGACAGTTGACAATAGCAGAGCTCAGATGATGGCATGTGTTGTCTCCTATCGCTATTACGATAGATGACAATCGTTGGCTCGGAATTGCATTGTTTGCAATTAGTGGCCATAAATGGCATTAATAGCGAGACATTAACCCTTCCGTGTTGTAGGGCTGACGCGTCGAATGAAGCGTTGCATACAATGCCTGCGCTTTCACTCCGATTGAAGTCATCGTAATTCCAGACCACAGAACCCGATGTCATAGAGTCGGGAGTTATTAGCTTTGAGCACATCTTCGATATGTCACTCACATCGGCGTCGCTCTGTCTTGGGATCAGTTTTACCTCAAATACATAGTTGAGAGACGAGCCGTCAAATGAGCCGATTAGCGATGAGAACTGCACCGTCAGCGCCGATCCCGTACTTATATAACTAGTCCTCCCGTTTCCCGTCTTTATATTACATGTAATGACAAAACGATAAGAAATAAACAAGAATTTGGGATAAGATTTCAAATTAAGACTAAATGAAAATAGGATTTACAGAAACGAAAACAGTTTCCTTAATGTGGAAGAGTATTAAAATACAGAGAGAGAGAGAGAGAGAGAGAGAGAGAGAGAGAGAGAGAGGGCTGTTGTGTAAACGGATTGAATCAATGGCTTACTTGTGGTTTATTCATATCACAGAGTCGTGTGATTAGGGCTGACATGTTTGCGTCGTTGGCGTCAAATATGCGAAGACTTTCCTGACATAAAGTGGTTCTCTCGACACGAAATGATATGAATTCCAACGAAATTAACGCTTTTGTGTCTTTGGCTCTAAACTTGTAGAGACATGTAGTGTTGGACGGATACCACGACCGGATCGGTGCGAACGTATTCACACCATTACTGTCCAAAGTTAGCTCTCTTTCTATAACACAACTGCCATTCAATAGCTATTAAATGAGACAACGAGTCGTTTGGCAGCGGAATAGAAAAAAGCAGTGAAAAAACATATTAGCCGTTAATTTAGCGCTAAATTTCCTACAGAAATAATTAGCGGAATTTGTGAAAACACTGTTTCAATGCATTTCATTCAGTGTTAGGCAAAAAATATTCATTTCGTTTAGTCTTTTATTTTTCGTTCTTTAGATTGTTTTTCATATAAAGAATTTGAACTCAAATAACGATAATATTGTTTCGCAAAGAATATCATTCGATATACAGAGCGTTGAGTGACTGAAGAGAACTTAGTCTTTACATTAAGTTTGCATTTATAACATCTGTTTCTGAGATTTGATACAAAACTTATAAAAATAAATTATAAGAAGCGATTCTTATGGGGTTTCCGTTTAATTCTATATAACTCTGAGCTATTACTTGGATAGTGTAGTGAATAGTGTGTTCACTATATATAAGTCGGTATATACTGTATAGTCGGCACACGAATAGACATTATTTATTGAGAATCGGTGCACACATTACTGGATACGAGTTCTCAGTCTCTTATATTAAAGACAACTCAAACCCAGTTTGATATATAGTCGGGAAATACCATTAGAAACGCAAAGCTTATGCTTATATCCAGTGCTTCACTCATATTCTGTGAACAGAATATAATAGAAAACTTCTCTATTCTTATTGTCGACCAAAGCATAATGTAATATAACTTAATTATAATTAAGGTTTCAATTTATTTGTGAATTTAGGCATAATATGGCTTAATATAACTTAATTCATTCATCAACAGTACAATTGTATGCATTCTTGTCGTATATAAACTCATTTGTCTAATCGTTTAGCATTTAAACTAGAAATTAAAATAAATGTTTATTTGTTGAGATTTGTTATGAATGCTAAGATATATAACAAAAATATTTGCTTTTGTATTCATTTCAGTGTAAACTGTATTCTCGCAAAAGAAAGAAAGGAATTCTTGGCTCCAGTATTAAAGTCTTGGAAGGCTTTGTGAGGTATGTGTGAAGGCATACCTGTATTGGTACATGAGTTCCGGTATCTATAATGGCATCGGCTTTGAAGTTAAATCCGGTGCTGAGAAGAGGACCGGCCGGCGATGTAATGAATTCCACTAACATATTACTTGTTGACGAGATTATACTCGATTTTATACGTCCTCTAAAAAAATAATGTTTTTCTTGCAGTTAGAAAACGAGTCATAAAAAGTGAAAAAAGCGATTACAGTTAGAGTACTAAACACTAACTTCAATGATACTAATATTCTGTAGAGAGAGTTGTAGGAGAGAGAGAGAGAGAGAGAGAGAGAGAGAGAGAGAGAGAGAGAGAGAGAGAGAGAGAGAGAGAGAGAGAGAGAGAGAGAGA